TCCAGTGGGTATGGTCGTATGTGGTAGTAATGTTTAGATAATGCACTTATGTAGTCTACTTACCTATTTTGATAACGATAAACATCTGGTGCTTCACCCGTTCGAGCCAACAGCTAGGTCACTTGTTATTCAAAGACCCTTCAATGAAGGTATGCAACCCTGAGGTGTAATACCCCAATACCGTGTGCACGGCGCTAACCTTGCGATAGTTCAAGTTACTGCGAAGTAAAAATCAAGGAGGTGAGACCGCGAGATGACTTGGGTTAAGGAGGATTGTCTTCCATCTAAGTTGTGTTGTGGTTCATGACTTAGAATGTAGATACTCTGTAATATTAGAGATAGCCTTAAGTGATCGATGTTAGTGTCTGATGTGTCCTGGCTTGCTGCTAACTAATGATGCCAACTGGGGAAGAGGTAACGTCTTAGTTGTCCCGGATAGGAAATCTCCCCAAGTATTAGTAACCTCGTCCCACGAAACGCTACCAGGCCAAGTCTTCAACATAGGTAGACTTGCTGTCATGTCGACCGTCTTGTGGACTCGGATGAGCACACCTTAGACGCTGTAAATAGAATCTCTCATACCAGCAACCCTCCTTTGTAGTCCAAGATGAAGGCCATCGCTTGGGTGATTTTCTTGTCGGGCGATGTATTCGTCTCCGGGTATCAACGACATCACGGCCTTCACTGGCTTCGTTAGTTGGAAAGACATAGATATTCCCCTAGCTACCGTTTAAGCTCGCGGTCTTAATATCTGTGGCAGAGTTCGCTGCTCTTGGTTCTCTATAAGCGGGATAGACATGCTCTCGAGGCTATGCATCAGGTTTCACTGAAAACAAAATTGATATCCTTTGAGGAAAAGACGGCGGGTGAACAAAAGCCCTTTTCAGAGAGAGAGTCGAGAGTACATGCTTGGGTATTTCACTTTGATTGCCAATCGTTTTCTACACGTCGAATATCTCGGTTTACGCTGGCGTTAGTGGCGGTAGTGTGTATCACCCCGTGATTCCACCCCACCAACGGAGCTCTCACATGTTGATAAGGTTATCGCAATTCTATAATTCATTATATCTGCTGTAGTCTATAAAATCGGCCCTACAGTTCTCTTATTATGGATATCGAGCGCCATGTTGACACCGGAACTAGATCAAGGCCCATGCCAAATTTTTTCCAGGATCTTCCGAGCCTCCGCGTCATGTTGTGCGGCTACGGGCAACAAAGAAACAATCATATTAGCTGAACTGTTCAAGCCCGTAAGGAAATGAGATCGCAGTGACATGAACCGGTGCCTACCTTGTGTGAGCCGAGCAATGATCTCTTCGATGGGGAACTTTGCTTTTTTGGCCTTCGGCTTGGTCACCTTGTTGGGCTTGGAACCGGAGGATGGACCCGCGACGAAGTCATTCTTGTGAAGTACAAGCGCTGGTTAGTTACATCTCAAGAGGTTCGTGATGGTTTTGAGTCTGGACGACAAAATGATTATCAGCTACCTTGGAAGCGATGGCGGTGCCATATACCTCGTCGCATAGCTTGCCAAGTTTCTCGAGTTCCTCGTCGACCTCGGCTAGCGTCAGCCCCTTCTGTACAGTTGGGGGCGCTGCGAAGCACCTATGAGCCCATTCTTCTGTGGGAGGATGCGTCATGTTTGCTAAGTGTGTTGGCGGTTGTACTGAAAGATGAATTTGCAGGGTAACAGAAACGAAACTGAGCTGGAGGATTGAAGGGCGAGAAGAGGGGAGAACATACAGTTCAGAGACCGAGTCTCCTCGCTCCTTTGTCTTCTCCCCAGGCATGCTCGACGGTCCGTACCTTCCCAAGTTACATATCCTGCGAATCTCAGGTTGCTACCAGTGAGAGGAAATGGAAGGAGCTTCCATGTCATCATCGTTTGCCCTGGTCCCCGTAACCACATAATGGTAGTGGGGTAAGTATCCTAAGTACCCAAGATGCTGTGTCCAACTCTCGTCTATTCTTCCTCCTCCGGCTGATAAAGGCAGGCAGGGGTTGATCTTCAAAGGTACTCGAGGTGATCACGGAAAGACGGCTGTCGGAACGAAGCAGCAGTAAGCGCAAATATACTCACTCGAGGACAGCTCGAAGAAAGACGTCCCTGTTGTTCACGCTTCTCGTCATTATTAATACTATCTAATACTACTGTACATCAAACAACAACCGCGGACCTAATTACAATATCAATACTCGTCATCATTAGCCCTAACCAAGAAAGATTTCGTGGTTATGGTAGGAAGATCTCCCCTCCATCATGTTGGGAGATAGGATGGATGTTCCTTCACCTTTCGTCTCGTGTCGTTTCCCATGTTGCCGAACCATCTAAGCCATCCCATCCGTTTGCCCTATCCCATCTATTATGTGTCATTAAGATCTCATCATCAATGTCTTTTCATCTCTATCATATTCAGTGACCGCACTCAATGCGTAACCGTCCTTACCGCCTGCAACAACACTCCAAACATCAGACCCCTCGCCACCTCCTCGATCTGCAAACAGTCGAACAACCGTCCCAACGCCTCCCCGGTAGCTGACTGTCCCATGACTCCCGACAGAGCAGCGGGAACTCCACTCTCAATCAACAACTTCCTCGCCTTAACCCTCAACTTTTCCTTCTCCTCATCACTCATCTCACCAGGCCATTGCGCCCGCTCCTCTTCAGTGGGGAGCGCGTTCTCCCTCAGCTTGCGCAAGTGTGCTGCGAGCCCGTCGTCTGAGGTGTTCGCATCCAAGACAGACGACTGGATGAGTGACTGGATCGAGGAGAGCGAGGGGTTACCAGGACGAAGGAGGAACGACTTGGCAGCCGCGAGAAGCGTTCGACGGAAGTTCCAGGCCGAGGAGAGAGTATAAAGCTCGTTGATGACTGCGAAGAGGAGCTCCACCGCCACGCGGGTTTCTTCCTCCGAGAGTTTGGGGTAGGATTTGAAGCCTTGAAGAGGGGCAGCGCCGGGTCCGGGACTACGGCTCTGGCTCCTAGAATGAGAACCGGGGAGGGAGGGCATGGTTAAGGAGCGGGCGTGGTGGGGTGAGTAGTCGTGAATGCGGGAGCTGGGTGAGGGACTGACGGGAGAGTTCTGGTAGTTGTCTGGCATAATGTCGGGCGGAGGAGGAAGTCTGAGAGATTCCAGCGTGAGACTGAGTGATGATGGAGAACGAAGGGAAGGCGGCGCTCGGCTAGAGGCACGGCTTTGTTCGCGGCTGTCGCGTGCAGACGTCCTTCCGTAGCGTGCTGACTCTACCTCGGTGCGGTAGTCACAGCTAGTCCGACGGTCCATAGGGTCGACCTTGCTGGGTTGCGTTGAGATGATGGAAGACCGTTGGCTGTCAATGCTTTCACGAATCCGATTCAGCGATGCACTACTGTCGGGTCTAGGGATCGTTGACATGGAGAGACGACTAGCCGCGGTCACGTCTTGGAGAGCAGACTGTGGTGCGCCAGACGCCGAATTTCCACTAGCAGATGAAGCTGCGTTCTTCTTGTGTCCAAGACCGATAGTCCCTAGAACACCGGTGAAACCGTCCACGAGGGCCTTGGAGCCTTCGAGAGGAGCACTGGTCATGACGTCAAAGACACCCTTTCCAATCTTCTCGAAAGCCTCAAATCCGGACTTTGGCCGAACAGGCATGTTGGCCGTATCCCTCTCAAGGAACTTCCTCATGCCCTCGCTCTCTGCCAGCGGCTTATAAGAGCAGGCGTCTTTTACATAGCGTTCCAGCTCATCCCGGAGCGAATTTCTGGTAGCGCCCTTCCACTGTGGCAATGTTTTGTGTTTGGTGTTGAACTCGGTAGCACCAGAGATGGCAGCAATACGGCGCAAAATCTCGTGGAGTCGCTCAAAGTCGGGGTATTTGCGCACAATCATCCAACCTGGGTAGATCGAGGTGGCGGGTTCTATCTGTACGAGATAATCCCATCCAGGCTTCGAGCCGAGATTTCGGTCACCTGGCTCGTCCAGAATAGTAATGTTGGCGTTGTGCAATGTCAAAGGCGGTGGCTTGGGCCGTTCCTCTTCGATCGGGGTCTCTGCCCGCGCAGGAGGGACGATCTGGTCAAAGCTGGTAAATCGAGAGGGTACCTCGGGTTGAGATTGTGCCCCCCCGGGCGCCGGCGAGCTCTTTCCCGATAATGGCGATAGAGGTGTTTTGATGGCGTTGGAGGTGCTGCTAGATACATTGCTTGACGTTGAGCCCTGTGACTCGGGCTCGGTACGAGCCACAATCGGTTGCACAGCAAGTTGGTGCTCCTCAGAACTGCGCTTGAGAGCATCGCCAAACTGATCCGGCTCTTCCGCCACAACTGTTTGCTGTAAAGGCACTGACCCTGACTTGGCCATGATATCTTTGGCCTCCTTGTCGCGTTTTGACTCTTGTTCGGCAATCATCTGGTTGAGTTTCTTCATCTCTTCCATGAGTTCCACCTCTTCATCGGCTTTGCTGAGTTTCTTCTTGTGGGACATGGCGATGGATGACTTCCGGCGTACCTTTTCCGTCTCAAAAGAGTTCTTGTTTCCTCTGGTGAGACCAATGTTGCCCACGTTCCCGTCGAAATCAGCAAAGGTAGCATCAGCGGCAGCAGGACCAGTCTGCATGCCCTCGTCAATAGCTTGGCTGAAGTCGGGTTCACCCTCCTCCAGCAGATAGACGATCCATGAATTGATCCATTCAGGTTTGCAGCAGTTCTGAAGCGTCATTTCAAGGACAACCCCAGCCAGGATCTCCCTCAAAAACACCCTGGCAGGATCGCATTCGTAGGTGGGTTTATCCAAAAAGGAAAGCAGGTCTTCAGCAACCATTCTAAACTTGCCGGCCTGCTGCCTCTCGTTGAGCAATTGCGCAAGGTTCGAGTCGGGGTGGGACCCAAGATAAGTGTACAAGGCATCGGCGGCCGAGACCTGGACGTCCGCGGGAAATTCGGCAAAGGCCTTGGTGAGCTCGGAGAGGAAGACAATGACGATGGAAGACGAATTTGTCAGGAAATCCAGAAAGGCGTCCGCTGGCCGTTTCCTCTTCAGGTGGTTGGAAATGGCGAGGATGAAAGAGGTCAAGGTCCTCTTGCAGGCCAGAGGGAAGAACTTGTCCGAGGGCACCAGCGGGGAGTACCACCACTTGACATAGCCGCTGATTACGGCGTCAATTATCTCATTGATGGCTTCACGGGTTTCAGGCTGGAAGTCTTCAAGGCGGAGGGCCAATGCGGCTTCTTGCTTGTCGGCGTCTTGTTCATTCTGGGTGACCTCGGCCTTGGTCTTGGTCTCCAGCAACCTCGCAACAAGGTCCACGCCCTTTTCTCCCTTGAGGGCCCGAGCTACTTCGGTGTTGTGCTGCTCCCATTGTATGTAGCCAACGATACCACCGAATGCTCCTATCAGGACAAGTCCGAGAGGACCTAGTACGAAGTATGTAACTGCGCCGAGACCGACAGCAACTCCGCCGAGTGTCCCGGGGGTTGCGGTAGCCAGAAAGCGGAAAGCTTGTGTTGCGAGGTCCTCCTCCTTGTCGGTGGTTGTGGATGTTGTAACCGAGGCGGCCGAAGAGAATCCTCCACCGCCTTTCATCTCGTCATCGAAGTAGTCGTTGTCTGCTTTCGCTTGCGGGACGGGATCGGCGGTAACGGGGTCTTTAGTGGTGGGGGAGCTCATAGCATCATCGGGTATGGCGCCCGGAATAGGCGCATCTTGGTCGGTCATTAATATCGTTCGGTTGTTATAGTACGTTAGAATCGGTCGGTAGGGCAGAAGAACAAGTGTTTTGGAAGGATCATGGAATCGTTGTCGTCAGTTGTTGTTTCATGGGCGGGCACGGTCGCAAAGGCGGGGGAAACAACGCGAGGGAACAATGGATGGAAGTAGTCGTGGAGCTGGTAAGCAGGCAGTCGTTCGTTTTAGAGGTATGTTTTATGGAAAATAAGAAGGACTGCTGGTCGCGCGGCGAAGCAGATGATCGTGGTCAAAGACGGGGCAAGATCCGTGGGACAATTGTCAGAAAATAGAAACTGGGAAATGAGACGTCAATCATGTTGTGTTTCGAGAAGTCTGGTGCGAGCATCGTTCGTCTCTGTGGTGTCCCAGGCACCTGTGGTAACATTTTCAGGAGGATCTGCCCCGGATTCCAGGTTCGATGGGCCTGTTCTTCCCCGCCCCCCAGGCCCCGTACTGAGCCTTCTGGCCGCCCAGGGTGTTTTTTTTTTCTTAGTGGTGCCCCTGTGTGGTGCTTTTGACAGCTGCCCAGAAAATGCAGACCCCTGTCCGTCCCACCCACCCCCCCCCCCTTTTGGGTCCAGATTCTGCACAGTGCACAGTGCACAGCTACAGGGCTGGCTGCCAAGAAGCGCCAAAGACTGGCGACAGTGACATCCGCTAGAGGTAACTTGCACTAACAAATACACTAACAATTACAACAGTGACTGATCCCTCTACGAAGCTTCCACTTCTCTTTCATTCACGTGCGGTCGCGTCGAAATCAAGAGAAGGGAGACCCCATCGACGTCACTCACTGTGTTTGCTGGCGCGTTGACTCTTCGTCTCGTGTTTTCCCAAGTCGCTGGTCGCTCGTTTTGCCCTTCACAAATATCTCACTCTAAATAGTGTGAACCCATTGCTCCGCGCTTTTCCATTCCACTCATTCAAGGAACTCATCAACAACGAGCTTACAGCGTCTCGACCATCAACACAAGATGCCTCCCAAGAGAAGACAGGCCGAGGACACCAGCGATGCTGAACCTCAGTATACCAAGAAGTCCAAGGGCAACACAGGAAAGGCTCAACCCCAGGAGCTTACCAAGGGATCCGACCAGGATGGCAACACCTTCTGGGAGGTTCGTCCGCCCAGTAACAACCTTGATACTACTGTACATGAGCTCAAGCTGACATCTTCAACAGCTTGGAAACAACCGCCGAATTAGTTCTTCGGTGTTCAGGAATACCACCCTGGTCAATATTCGGGAATACTACGATGCTGGTGGCAAGCTGATGCCAGGCAAGAAGGTGAGCTATTCCCATCACTCATCCCTCACACTTACCAGTCGACTAACACACATACCAGGGCATCTCCCTCTCACTTGCCCAGTATCAGAACCTCCTCAAAGTCATTCCCCAGCTGAACGCTGATCTCCGTGCCCAAGGCCACGCCATTGAGGACCCAGATTTTGCCCAGGTGGCCGAGCAGACCGACGTCTCCGTCGAGACGCCCAAGGTCAAGGCGCTGGAGTCCAAGACGGAGAGCATCAATAAGGAGAAGAAGAAGCCCCGCAAGTCCAACATTGACGTTACCAGCGACGAAGAGGAAGCTGCCGAGGACGAGGACGACGACGAGTAGAGCAGATCGGTCCGCCAAGCCAAACATCTTTGGGCGTCGCAGAAATGGTAATGCTGGGGCGAGAGGAACATCCGTTGGTACCGGCCAATCGAATCTCTCTCTTATGCGGGCGCAGTGCAGATACCCCCCTTCTCTACGGTTTTCCAGGTGGCCAGTCATCTTTGGTGATATTTTGTCTCGTCAATGGCGTATGATCTTTGCTTTGTTTCGGGGTAGCGTTTCACTGGCAATTTAGCTTGTTTGGAGAAATCGGGCGGGGCGTTTGGTTCTGGATTGTTGTGGACTGGGGCCATGGGCCAAGCTGCCAATATGGTTGGTCTGAGTATTACTTCTACGACGTGTTGGGCTTATGAGGGAGTAAACTTGGGGAAACGGCGTTGTCGGCTTATATCAAAGGTTTCATCGGTCCTTGAGAATGTCTCACGACACACACAAGGCGTCTCCCCAGAAGGGCTCTGTCAGGTAACAAAAGCCATTCAAAAAAGAAAAGTTCATTCCACGAAAATAACCAACACACTTCTTGTATTCCATTGCCATTACCCTTCTCATGCCTCTTAATTTCCCACAGCTCATAACTTCATTCCTCTTTTACGTACCACGCATCACCCATTACTCCTCCATCTTGCCATCCTCCCCTTTGCACTTCTCCCCCTTCTCTTCCTTCTGCCGAACCCTCAGAGCCTCCCACTCCCCCTCCAACATGCTAAACCTCAGCATATCCCACCACTTCCTCTCATACAACACCGCCTCCCTCTCCCTGCCCTCCTCCACGAACCCCAAGTTCCTATACAGCCTACACGCCCTCTCATTATACTCAAACGCCGCCAGCCAAATCCGATGCAACCCCAACCTCCCAAACCCATAATCCAAAACCCAATCCACCGCCTCCCCTCCATACCCTTTACCCCTCCACTCCGCCCCGATCCCCACGCCAATCATGGCATTCCGATGATGTAGTTCCTCGGTACCCATAGGCGGCATGAGCGTCACCACCCCAATCGGCGTCGGCCCGGGGCGTGGGAATTCGGTCTTTAGTTTCTCTACATCCAAGGTTGCCGTCAATCCCGATTTTTCGGCCTTTTCTAGGATGAGGGATTCCCACTGGACAATGTCGGAGTCGGAGGGCGGGAGGCAGATGAAGACGCGGATGTGGAGCGTGTGGGCGTGTTCGTAGAGACGCTGGACAAAGGCCAGGGGTTGTGGGTTGAGAGGCCGGAGGGAGGCCATGGCGATGGAGGTGGGGTCGTTGTCGAAGAAGGTCCAGAGGGTGTGGCGGTCGACGGGGTTGTCTTCGATGGCGCGGTAGATGAGGCGGGGGGAACGCCAGGCGTTGGTGAGGGTGGGGGAGTAGTGGGTGGTGGACATTTTGGTAGATGGGTTGTGGGTAGGGGTTGATAGGTTCAAGTTGGATGGAGTTGGGTTGAACTTCGAGATGGTGATGTTGATCGAAGAGAATGGATGACCAAGAAGAAAAAGTGATGAGTTGGAGGTTGATATGTTGGATGATGAACCGAGGTAAAGACCAGACTAGAGTCAGTATCGGTGTTATCTGGTGGTCGTGTGTGTGTGTGTTGTGTTGTATCCCGTCTTACATCAACTTCTAGCTCTGATCTCAACTAGGAAGGTAAGATATGTAATGTAAGATTCGCAAGTTCAAGGACGACTTGGACTCTGGGTGACGAATCTCGATGGTAAACCAAGCTCCTGGGACATGATCTTCTCTTCCTCTTTTTATATCCTGGGATCGTGACTTGGGAGTGAGTCAGCAACACCGTCTCCCCTCTTCCCTCTTCCTGTCCGTTTTCTCATCCATCTCCGAGGCATACCTCCATGTTCGTGGCTAGCTATACCGTCGCTTACCACCCCCTTCCGGTTCATCCACCGAGATCCACGGCTGGATGCCAAGACCTCCCACACGATATGGGGGAGGGTCACAACCGCCGACCGATTTTGCGTGGGAATCGGTGTGAGTCGTACGGAATATGTAGTGAAAGCTTGAGATGGCGGGCTGCAGCTAGGCTATCCTGGCTATCTACCCTTGACTCCAAAGTCTGGAAGTTTACCTCTAGGATTGTGTTATAGTGGAGGCGATGAAGAACAATGCTACACTACGGTGCTTCTTTTTCTGTGTTGTTTGGTTGGTTGATTTTGGGCTATACTTTGATATTTCACACTACATACGCATAGCTATCATGAGCTTCGTCATGGGTTTGATACTTGCCCTAGAAAGAGGCGGATTTTCGCCAATGGCATGTCTTTCAGGGTAAATAATGTAAGTGAACGGGAATTCCCGTTTTTAACAGAGACGGTAGTGAATTGTAGACGGGAAAACACAAAGTGGGAATGTTTAGCGACGCGAACCACCGCGATTGAGAAATATCCAGCGTTGAACTTTTCCCAAGATGTGAGTGATGCTTCAATCCCTTTGTTCGTGGATGAGGGGGTGGCTGTGGCTTGTTGGCGATTTCGAAATACTTGCTTGTGATAGCAAGAACAATGGGTGCGTAATTAGCACGGATAGGCATTGTTTCACTCAGGGCACCGTCAATTACCTAGGTAGACTTGACGATGACGATCTGTCAGTTCTTCCGCTGCATCCAGGATGACAACACCCAGGGAGAACTACCCGAAGAGTCATCGCCGTCTGGACCTACACTAGAGCAGCGTCCCATCGTTCCATTTAAGGCAGGTGGTGCCGCATCTCCCACTACCTACTGCCCCTGGATTTAGAAGGCTGACGCTGTAATTGGCCACTGACTGACGGGGATGACTTCCTGTGCAGTTTGTGGTCTCGCTGGCGGCGAGCCGCTTCCAGATCGGCCACTGCCGTCACACTTACCATTCGGCGTCCGGAGCTTGACCCCTTGTGGAACGCCAGGCCGGTATCATCAAAAGGGGCTTTTGTAGTGTACGAGCCACGTTCAGTCGTTATTGTGCGTCAACTAGCCCGGTACGAAATGGCTGGCAGATTGATAAAAGCTCATCTAGACTCTCGATCGGAGGAGCTCCGAAATCTTGCAGCTCAATGGCAAGAAGCTACCTATGTACCGGTTGCGGTAATGAGCTCTTGGTCGCGGTCTTCGGGATCGCGTTACCAACACACAACCGTCGTTGCCATTGTGCGTTATCCCGGAGGGAACTCCGATTATTCTTGGTGCCGCCACGAGGTTCCTTTAGCATTGTGAGTATGTGGGGTGCAACACACGATTTATTCCCTTGGTATCATATAGTAAGAACAGACCCGGCCATCCATCCATCCATCCCACCTGTCCCTCCCTCCTAACTGAAGTCACTCCTTTTCTCCAGCCGAGGCAAGTTCTTTAAGCAGACCCGGTAAATGACCAACCCAAAAGATACACACACTTCAAGAGACCAATGTCGTCTCTGGAAAAAAATGAAGAATGTACAGAAATCTGATCACCCCTTTCCTCCCGCCGCGGCAAGTTTTTCAAGCAAGCCCGGTAAATGACCAACCCAAAAGATACAGACTTAGAGAGACCAATGGAAAAAGGCAAAGAATGTACAGAAATCTAGAGGAAAAAAAGTACAGGCGCTAAAGACAAAACCAAGATCATCTAATCAAGACTCGCTCGATCGATCCTTGATAGCCTTCTTTGTAGATTTTGCCGTTCCGATATGGGTATTATGTACCTGCAGTATCACCATCACGTTAGTGTCATGTCGCACCACACCGCTGTGCCACACATCTCCCCCGGGAACTGGGCCGCAATGGCTTACCTTGGTAGCAAACCTCAAGCTGGTAATCGTCTCCTTCAAGTGAGCCTCCAACGGGCTCACCATAACGAACATCAACGTCTTGGAGTTTCCTCCCAGCGAGTACTGCAGCAGATGCGTCAACTTTGAGTTCCTGTACGGCACATGTGACGACCCTCTGCCCAGCGCCTCGATAACATCCCCCAAGCACGCCAAGCTCTTGTTGATGCTCTGCGTCTCCTTCATCCTCTCCCCTTCGGCCTGCGAGTGCTTCAACCGCTCAGAACCCGCCAGGTCGACCAGGTTCAGCGTACCCTCGCACCGCTCATTCGTGACGGAGTTCTCGCCCACAAGCTTGAGGATAAAGACGGAATGGGAGCGCGAGGACCGCTCGTTGGCCTTGGTGGCGGCCACGCTGCGGTTGTTTTGCGCCTGCTTGAGCATCATCTCCACCTTGTCGGCCGAGTCAAGGGCAACGGTCTTGCAGTTGAGTACCGTTGTCTGCTTGCGGACATCGTCGTGGCGGATCTCGAGTTTCTTCTTGCTGTTATTGCTGCCGTCGAGCAGATCGTTCAACTCTTCGTTGTATACCTCGACGAAACTACCCTCCATGGTGTACGTCCACGACTTCTCTCTAAGTTTCGTTATGGTATCATATATCATGTGAGTGGCTCGCGGGATCATGCCATCTGGAGACGACATGGTGTACGTCTTGCCAGAACCGGTTTGGCCGTAGCAAAAGATACACACGTTGTAGCCGTCCAAAGCGCTCTGTACCAGCTGAGAGATCTCGTCGAAGATTTCCTCGTTGTGGACTGACGGAGCAAAGACTCGGTCGAATTCGAAGGGGAGCACCTTGCGGTTGATGTTTCCAAAGCTACTCTTTTCCTCGAGCCCGGTCACTTCAATCTGTGCGGACGACGTTTTGGCGTCGGGGAACATGATCTTGGCCTCGTTTCCTTCGGATTTGCCGAGTGCAGGACGGACTCTGCACATGACCCGGATATTGCCTTTGAGCTCCTGGTACTTGTTGAACAATATCCGCCTCTCCGTCTCCTCTTTGATGAGCTTCTGTTTGGCGTTCTCCGCGATTTCCAGGGCCTCCCGAAGCCGTGCCTCTATCTGTGCAAACGAATCCGACTGTTGCTTGCTATCAGATTCAAGGAAGTCAATCTGCGCCCGAAGTCCTTGGTTCCGGGCTTCCAGTTTCCCATTTGTTGTCGCCATCTCGTTGATCTGTTCCTGCAACGCCCTTTTGTTCTTTTGCTCTTGGCTCAGTTCTGACCGCAGATCGTCCAGTTGAGATTGCAGTTGCCGTAGTTCTCGTTCTTTCTCCAAGAGCGATTTGTTGATATCCTGCTGTTCTGCCCCAAGCTTCAGCCGCAAGTCTCGGACCTCCTTTGCCGCCTTTGCCTTTTCGCCCTCCAGATCTGCCCGACATTGCCTCTCAAAAGCGTCCTTTTCCTCGCGGTTGATTCGTTGCAGTCGTTCGCTTTCCTGTTTCAACTTTCTCTGTAATTCTTGGACTTCATGTTCATGCTCTCTTGACTTGTTCTGAAGTTGATATTCATGGTCCATCTTCTGTCTTTCCAATGTGAGGGTCAGTTGTTGGAACTGTTGTCGCAACGCATCCATCTCCTTCTGCAGCAGTTCGTTTCTCTCGTTCAGTTTTTGTCGTTCCGCCTCGAGCGTGTCCACTAGTAGGTGTCAGTCAGCCTGGCATGTTTGTATACTTGCTGCCACGTACCTTGATTCTTTGCCATCTGAACGGCCGTTTCCATGGCCTTCTTGTCTTGCAAAGATATGCTGAAAGCCTCCTTCATCACCTTCCATTCCGCATCAACCTCGTTGAGCCGCTCGTCGACGTCAATGCCTGTGAATGCGGTGTTATTAGAATCCTTGGTGAGAAAAGAAAGCTTGACAGGTGAAACAGATTTTCGGGTTGAAGCAGTTTTGTGAGCGGAAACGACGGCAGAGTTGAGAATGACGTCGAACCGCTCCATAGCCACACGGGGGTCTTCCAATCTTGACTTTGCTTTAGGGGTCTCCGGGTACGCCGTTGTCGACTGTTGGAGAGAGGACTTGCGTCGTGCGGGTACGGCTCCTTCGGTTCTTCGTCTGGGTCTAGCAGGCTCCGCCTTGGCATCCGACTAAGACGCCTGGGAGGCGGGCTGCGAAGTCTTTCGAGGCGTCACTTGACTCCCGCTGGGGATGTTCTCCTTTTCATCACAAATCGACAGGTCCTGCAGGCGCCTGCTCAGACCCGAAATAGTCATTCCCTTCTCTTGCTCTTTACCCGACGTTGAAGATCGTGGTGAAGGAGATCCCCGTGTCTTCTTAGGCTTGACTTTGGGTCCGGGGACGGGTATAGAAGATAGAAATTCCGTACCATTGGGCGGCTGGGTAGGCGCCGGCTGTGTAGGCGCTACGCTGACGTCTCTCGAAGGTCCATGGCTGCTCATCGATGTCGCTGGTCGTGGCTTGGAAATGGATCGCGATCGATTTGTGGGCTGGTTGAAGCTGGGTTGTCGCAATCCTGTTACAGGTGGTCGGCTTGAAGGACCCAGACTCTTTGTGAAGCTGGATGGGTTTGTCGAGGAGTAAGTTGGCCGATGACCAGTCGCCGAGCTTGCGCGCGGGAGCGCTGTTGCCGTCGTTTTGTTCGCATTTCGGGCCTAGAGAGATATCCAGTCAGAACTGACCTAAGCCATATCGATGCGCTTAACTGATCCCACAGTGGCCATCCTTCGAAAGCACAGGAAACGGTATGTCACGCGGTAGTACGGGATTTGTGTTATGGTAGGTGGCCGGGCTTGTCGTGAAGGTTCAATTCGAAGAGGGCAAACATGACTTCGGAATGTATGGTACTGATGGGCGGAGGTTAGACCTACATTAGCCAACTGAACGATTGATGCGCCGGATATGGTGCCTGTGAGAAATGCGCTGGTGGGCGTCGGCGCTGGTAACTGGGACTTTGGCTGGATAGGCTCGCCGGCCCTCTCGACGAGGGTTTTTCGTTTCGCATCAGGCGGGGCGACTGAAGAACATTGCATGTTAGCCATCGAGGCCATGGACAATGGCATAGACAAAGCCATGATGTATGTGTTGGGTGTTTGATCTAGCTGGTAAACAAAAAGAAGCAGGTGGAGGGTAGGTATGTCTTACCAGCGCTGTCGTTTGCGGCGCGCTTTGTAGGTATGGACGACATTTGCGCTCGCGCGTTGCTCTGGGAGTCGGAGATCTCTTTGAGGCCGGTGGGAGCAGTCGCGGTGGCCGTGGCGGCGTAGGTGGTTGGAAGTCGCAACTTGGTCGAGGCTGGGTTAAGGGCGTTCTACAATTTTCGATAAGCGGGCTGCCCTGCTTCTCCATCTTATCGCAGTAGGGAAATAATGGAATAATCAAGACACAACGAAGTGTTTTAGACAGCTGTGATACGTACCCTGTTCTCGGAGCTCTCCATGGCGAGCGTGCGCATGCGAGGGATGATGTTGTTCACCAGCACACACGAGCCGAGCAGCAACGCCCCAGATGTCGAGGACAGTGATGGCGCCGTTGTGAAAGCCGTTCAGTAGTCATGCGCCTTCAGCGACGGCGTGCCGGCTCCAGAGCGTCGATTGGCGTACAAGCGGCGGTTGAGTGGGACTTGCGAGTTGGGCGCGGTCCTGGCCCTGCATCGCTTTGTTTACTTCACCACGGCAACCATTTCTCCCAGCGCTATGTCCAATCGTTCGACCTCGACCAAGCGGGCGAGCGGGGCCCACAGTGTGCAGGCGCCATCTTACGCCACGGGACGGTACGTACCTGCTTGTTCCTTGCGCTAGACCATTCTTTGCAGCGCCAAGACATCTGCTCTTCTTTCGGTCTTCAATGTCCCGACCTTGCAATGTTTCTTGCACCAACAGCCACATCCTTCTATCACAGAATCTTCGACAAGTGTCTGGTTCTGTTTCAATATTCTGATTGGGTCTGATCCTGCTTGTCATAAGTTGTTAGGACAGAGATGTTACAAGCCGATACTATCAGGTTTTGAAGACAATGGTTTTGGACACCACGATACCCAGACTCATGATGCCCAGGTAATGCTCGCCTATCTCGCTTATGCAGATATTGCATACACCGAAAAACAAAGCACTTTGTAGACCCAAATTTCTTTCTTGGGCCAGCATGCGGTGGTTCTTTACATGTCGGTTTAGCGGTAGTCAAACAACGCTTTGGACGTTTTGAGATGTTCCCTCACTGGTGGAGAGTCTTGAATCATGACCATATGATCTCGCCAACATATCCCTACTTCAAGGCAACGCATCTTAATCCTTATCCTACTCTACCGTCACTGTGATCTGGTGTGTCAGATCAGTCATGAATGCTGGAGCTTCCTGTAAAAAGATGACAGCTCCTAATCGCAATTTCAAGTCCAACTAAACGTCAGGGAGATCTTCTATCCCTGACGAGTAAAACCATATCATCCTCATTAACCTCATTACCAGTCCTCATAAGACACCCATCTCTATCTCAATTCTTTTCCCTCTTTCCACACCATCTACCTCCTTCTCTTCTCCCAAGCCTTCACAAAGTTCTTCTTGTCCTCCACAGTCAACCCAACTCTCTTGGCCCTACCCAACCTCGCCAACGTCTCCGCCACCTTATCCAAAAGCCTCTGCTCCTCGGCCGTCAACTCTCCATCCCCTCTCTCTTGCCTTCCGCGGACATCCACTGCTGAGCTCTCACCATGTGAAACACCATTGCTAGCCCCCACGGTATTAACCAACCCCTCGCCAATGCGAATCCTAATACAGTGCGTCGGCCTAGCCAGCAACTTCCACAAGAAACTCAACCACACCTTCGCTCCCCCAGGAACCGGGGTGGTGTCGTCAACGGGGGTATACCGCAAGCTGAGCGGGAAGATCTGCGTCGAGTTCGGGACGGTAAGCAGCGATGGCGAAAGCGGCAAGATGCCCTTGCCGTTGGTGGTAGCGCACTCCGGAAAGACAGCAATCGCTCTAGTCGGGTATTCCTTCAGCAGCTGAGCGATCGTCGTCAACTTCTCGTTATCACCCGCCGGTGGCCCAGCCAGCTGGCGTGGGCTAAGCGCCAAGGAAATAGCTTGCCACAGAGACAACCTCCTCACTTGCCTGCTCCCAGGGAAGCTCTGCACAAAAACACAATCCCACACCGCCGCCAAGTACACCGCGTCCAATGGACTCGTAAAGTTCGCCGCGATCACCGTCCCGCCCCGTGGAATTCGGGAGGGCGGTTGTTGAGAAAGCGAGCCGCGCTTGACGCCGTCGAGCTGCAGGTCCGACCACCAGGTGCCGGTTAGGGCGAAGAAGCCCCATAGCAGAAGCTTGCGCAGTGGAGAGGGCAGGAGTGGGAGAAGGAGGAAGTAGGAGATGGTATAGAGGACGAAGAAGGGGAGGCGGAGGAGGAAGATTAGGGGGCCCGAAAGGGTGGAAAGGAGGGACGGAGTGGGGGCGGGGGAGGGCATAAAGGGAGAGATGCCGGAACCTGTCGTAGAAAGACACCATCGGTTAGTGGCTGGTTTGGAGATAGGAGAGGGACGAAGGAGGAGGGACGGAGGAAGGCTTACCGCGGTCGCGGAATTGGGAGAATTTCTCCATTGTTTAGGTTATTTTCGCTACTGGATTGGGATGTGTATGCATATGCTGGCGATTCGTAGTAGATCTATCGTCACGGATGGCGTCTCAAAGAAAGTTGAACAGGCAATTCGCGATCGTTGTAATTGTCGTCGATCGAGCGAGGTTGAAACGTGAGATTCGCCGTTGTTCGTAGATCGAAGAGGCTGTCGCGCTTCTTGCGCAAAATCAGAAAAGGCACAGCTGGTTGCGGCTTCAAGTTTGTTGATCTGGAAGGAAATCCAGATCTTAAGTTTGAAATCTGGCAACAACGACGTCAAGGGGTCAAGTTGTTGTCAGCGACGGGACTTTGGGATCCTTGCGACTCCGATCTGCGGACATGTGAAGAGGTGATCTGTGCGTTGTTGGTCAATTTCGCCAGTCACAATACCTGACCAACATGCGCATGTGAATTCCATAAAGTAGCATCTGCGATTTCGCTGATACCTTGAGTCAAAGCGCCAAAGCAGCTTAGGATGGAAAGCTCGGATATCAAAACCGAGAGCACAAGGATAGGGAACACGAGATGAAGAAAAGAAACATGATAAAAAGAAAAAGAAGACAAAAGAACATACAACACCAGGGATTCGCTGGTCGTCACCGACCCACTACTAGTCTGGCCTCACTGGCTT